ATAGATATTATAATTGAATAATAAAAAATATGAATGTGTACCTATTTGTTTTTATTAAATATCCTTTAAATAAAATACCTACCCTCCATTTTAAAATAACTTTTTATTTTATTTCAGTCTTCTTAAATGCCTAAACATTTTCTGGCACACCCTGTATATAGGTAAATATAACAATAATTAAAATACTAAATAAAATACCTAGCTACATTTTAAATATAACTTTTTTAAATTTATTTTCTGGTACACCCTGTATATAGGTAATTAGAAAATTGATTAAAATACATGCAATTTAATAAGTATATAAATATATTAATTATGCGTAATTATGTAATTTTTTTTCGGCGGACATGTTTTTCTGCGCATGACCATATGCGACGTCAGCATACGACTAAAATGAGCCTACTGCGCATGCTCAGAAAGAGTCGTTAGTGACATCCCTTCTGTAAAAAGTAAATAAGTAACAATATAAATCGTTGTTATAATGGCAAAATTAAGTTTGCAGCAAGAATTTGAAATGACAATTTTTTAAAAGTAGTAAAAAACTATTTTGTGTCTAATTCCGCACAAAATCATATATTAAATTTTGAAAACATTCTAGGGAAATTCTTTAAATGGAGATAATACCTTAATAAAAGTAAGCCTACATATTCAATATTTTTTTAGGAAATTAATAATGAAACGAAAGAAAGGCTTAATTTATTAAGAAATATTATAAATCGCTGTGACTTTAAGAAAAGGGCAACAAACTGTAAAATTCTACAATAGTATCATCAAAGGAAACAAATACTACTGGTAATGAAACAGGTAAGTTTTAAAATAATACTATTTTACTTTTTATGTATTTTTTACGTGGTTTTGGGCAAATTAATTTTTTATATCTTGCCAAAAATAGTAAATGTCAATCACTTGGCCACAATTAGGAAAGCTCAAAATAACACTATATATTATACCTACAATCAATAATATCTACCAAGTCTTTTAAAACTAGGCAACCTTTTAGAAAAAAAATCATAATATTCTAGACCTATTTCGACTTCTCCTATGTTCCTTAAAGAGATTAAAATATATTAATTAATAATAATAAATTTTATTTTTAACCGTGTCCCTGGGCAGGAAAGTCATCAGCTGTTTACTTTTCGTCCTCATTTTTCTGCCTAGGCAGGGATGTGATCAGCTGTTTACTTTCTTTTACCTTTTTCCTTTGATTTTGTAGGCGAAGTGTTGTACAAGTCATTAAAATAATGCTAATTATTAAAATAGCATAGAATATATATATTAGATATATAGTTTATTTTGATGCTATAGCGTATACACGTCTTGATACAAACACATAACATCCATTTTATGGTTAAGATTAAAAACTAAACCTTGGTCGACAGTTTTAGAAAAATAAAACAGCACATTTAATTTGACAAAAAAAACAAAAACTGGCCAGTGCTGTTTGATCTACGTGCTGATTCACTGATAGACGCTGATTTTCAAAAACTCTACCCAGAGTCTACTTTTTGTTTTTATAAAAAATTGGACATATTTATTAAAAAAATTGTCACCTTGAGAAAGATCAATATAACTAACTCATGCGTATTGGAAGAAATTCAAGGACTGCGAAAGAAATTAGCGGAAAAAGAAAATGAACCGATATTATAGTGCAAAGTAAAGATGAGCCTTACAATAAGATTTAGTGGGTAAACTTTTGAAAAAGTTTTTAAAAAAGAACTATAATGGCAGCATCAAATCGAAATTTTAAACTTGAAAATTAACCTGTGGCAGTAAGTTTTATTTAAAAGTGTTTCTTGTTAATTAAATTAACTATTTTATTTAAATTTATAATGTAAAAAAATCGGATTCATATTTTATAGGAAGATCAAGGAAAATGTCTTGTGTGCATTTTTTAAGATTTGTTTAAATTTTTATAATAATGTATTTCTGAAAATCAAATATCGAGTCTAATGCAGTTCTGTAATGTTAACTTATATTTTATATTTTTAAAACGCAGATTTTTTCTGAATTACGTATTCTACCCTCGTCAAAGGACGATTTGTTATGCAAAATAAGGAAGTGTGGAAATTTTCAACAGCCGAAACTTAAGAAGCAATCAAAGGTAATAGGTAGTATTTTATATTTCTACTCATTAATATGGGATACCCAATCCACAAAATAAAACTTTTTCTATTTATTGCAGACTGCGAAACAGTAAGAAAGCGAGATTTTGCAAGAGGACAATAAGAAATATTTGGAAAACGAAATGTGTTTACCATGTACCTATAGGTATGATATATCAAAAACATGTAAAAGATGTAGATGAAACCAAACATATCTTGGGTGAAACGTATGCAAAACAACCGAAATTGTAATTTGTGAAAATTTAATGTATTAATTTATCTTTTATAAAGCCTCATTCAGAACCTTGAAATTAGTGGAAAAAATTGAGGAAACTGAGAACTTTTGTTTTAACACTTCAATTTTATTCATCAAAAGCTTATGAATATGTAAGAAGTGGTTGGAAGAACTTGCTTTCCCATCCATCAACACTTAGAAGACTGTGGTAGATGGAGAACCAGGCTTCAACCAAAAAGCATTTGCTTTATTGAAATAAAAATAAAAAAAGGAGATCATAGTAAATGTTACACTAGATGAAATTTCAATTAGACGCCAGGCCGTATATAAAGGTGATATTTGGATACATTAATTTGGGAATCAGAGACCAGCCAACAAAGACTTGCCAATTAGCAACAAATGCTTTGGTGTTTATGGCCGTGGACCTATTGGACCATTGTAAAACACCAATTGGTTACTTTTTGATCCACTCTTTAAATGGCTCTGAAAGAGACAATTTGCTCAACCATTGCTTAACACAGCTTTATAATGCTGACGTGGTGTTTCGATGGAGCCAGTGTTAACATTGCAATGGCAAAATGTTTAGGGGCAAGTTTTAAACTGGGTGCCCAGTTTAAACCCTATTTTCCTCATCCGATAAACTCTTTTAATGTGTATGTCTTTTATGATGCATGTCATATGCTAAAGCTCAGAAATGAAATTGGAGAATTAAAAGATTTTCAGGATGAGGTTAATGGGGAAATAATGTGGCAACATATTGTGGATCTAAATGAGATTAAAAAAAGGAGGCCTTCATTTAGCCTGCAAAATATCAGCAAAACATATTGAGTTTGAGCAAAACAAAATTAGGGTTAGACTTGCTGCTCAGGTCCTTAGTGAGTCTGCGCATTGTGCATTAATTTATTTAAACACCAAAAACTACCCAAGTTTTAAAAATGCAATGCCAACTGCAAAGTTCCATCTTTGATATGCTTAATACAAGATATAAATTTTATAAGACTAAAAGTCACAATATATGTATTAATGATGAAAATTTTAATTACCTTCCTTAACTTATCCAACCTAAAATTAAAAAATGGTTTTAAATTAATAGAATCGCAAAGTAAAACGGGATTTGTTGGGTATATAATATGTTTAACAATAGTTTTTCCTGTTTTTATCGACTTGAAAAAAAACTGGTATGGAGTATCTTTTAACATTTAAACTAAGCCCACTTAGAAACATTTTTTGGAAAAATTAGAAGCAGGGGGGCTTTAATAATAATCCAAATGCTCTGCAATTTTCAACTACATATAAGAGAGTTTTGGTACACAATGAAGTTAACACTTCTGAAAACGGGAATTGTAAAGCAAACTTTGTAAAAATTCTTACATTGTCAAATAAATATACAGATCCTTTATGTGAAGAAATAAAACAAGAAAAAGAAAATGAATTGTTTGAAAAAATTTACACAGGAACAATAAGACAGCTATCCAGCTTTGTTGAAGATGTAGTGGAGTACATTGCTGGATATGTTGTAAAACAAGTGCAGGGTTTGGAATGCAACAGGAAGATTTGGGGTGGGGCTTGCAGCGCGCGGTGAAGTGGTAGGGAAGACAGTCACACGGCCTGTCGGGACCCGAGTGGCTTGCCATTTAGTCTACAATGGAGCGTTGGACGGGTGAGCATCGCGGTTACGCAATTAAGGCTTATTATCAAAATGGCGAGAGTTTAGTGCAAACGCGTCGGGATTTTAGACGGAATTTTAAAATACCGCGTAACCAACCTGTTCCGTCAGACCAGGCGATTAAAATGTGGGTAAACAACCTCGAGCAAACTGAATCGACGTCTAGAAAAAGAGTTGGTAGTGCCAGAACGATTCGAACCCCTGAAAATATCGAACGTGTTCGACAAGCAATGTTAAGAAGTCCACGTCGATCGGCCGTCCGTCACGCCACACGCCTTCGAATAAGTGAGAAGGATACTCCATCAAGATCTTCGATATCACCCGTATAAAATACAGGTTGTTTAATCTCTTCACCCAGGTGATTATCAACAGCGTCTGAGATATTGTGAGGTTATGCTTGCCAGGTTGGAAGAAAATGATGACCAAATTAACAACTTGTGGATAAGTGATGAGGCACACTTTCACCTCTCCGGTTTTGTTAACAAACAGAATTTCAGGTACTGGGCGGAGGAGAACCCTCGTTTGCTTCATGAAACACCTTTTCATGGGCAGAAAGTGACAGTATGGTGTGCAATGTCGGCAAATGGAATCATCGGTCCGTATTTTTTTGAGGATGCCGTTACCGTTAATTCTGAGAGATACGTTGCAATGATTCGGAACTTCCTCACACCTCAACATCACCGCTTTCCAGTTAATGAAAACAAACTTTTTCAACAAGACGATGCAACAAGCCTCACTGCAAGAATTTCAATGAATGCGGTGAATGCTTTGTTCCCAGGGCGTGTCGTTTCTCGAAACGGGGATATCGCTTGGCCCCCTCGGTCTCCCGACCTTACAGTCTGCGACTTTTTTTTATGGGGTTATCTGAAAACGAATGTGTTTGGAACTGATCCACCCAGGACAATACCGGCCCTCAAACAACGAATTCGTGACGAGATTACAATACCTGTTGATATCCTGGTCCTTGATTGGAGAATAATTTATCAAAGCTTTCAAAATGGCAGAAGTAACCAAGGTTTATACCTCGGAGGAGATGCAGAAGATCGCGCCGAATTTTAAATCAGACTTTAAAACTCGCAAGCCAAATCCGAAGAGTGTTCCGGTGAAAGATAGAGACAGCACAGTTCCAAGACCGAGGCATTTAGAAGCAAACAAGCATCCAACACCACAGATAAATGAGCCCATACTATCAGAGGCCATATATGGTATTGATGTAACCGTATACCTACGTGAAGTAGGAAGCTACACCGACAAGATGGGCAAAGAGCAAATGCACAATGTCCCACCACTACCTGTCGCAGTAGCGCAACACTTTGGAGGCTACCATAGTGCAGTGTTAGACATCGACACGCACAATTTTTTCGAAGAGATACCATCACTTGGTATCGCCAGAGACGTTCTGATGGCTGTAGCAAGCCAAGACGCAGAACCACTTCCAAACTTTAGATTTGGAATTCCGGACCATTCAGAGGTGACGACAAACTTAGTCGGAAAACCTCGCGTTATCGGAGAACGCAGACCTGCAATACGGCAAAGACTAGCATTACCCCCGAGTTGTTCGAGGAGTATATACCAAACACCCGCTTTAATCTACGCTATATAAGGTCTCTTTCAGATATCGTTGGAAAATTCGAGACCTATAAAGTCGAAAAGATCACCAACAAAAATCTCGGCCAAGCAGGCGAAGAAACACAGGTCATTAAGACCATACCATCCGAGCCAAACGAGCAGGAAAGATGGATAGCCAGATCAGGCAACATAATCAACATCATCATCCACCAGCTCAACGGCAAACCTTGGAGCAGCAAACTGTTTTGGTTTTCACCTCTATAAGGAGGACGGACGAGGCAACAATCGCGCGGAGATGACAGCAAATTGGAGCTGCATCAGAGGCACGGGCGACGAGCCATGGGCTATGCCAGACGCATGGTACCAAAACCGAAACGTACGACGAGACTTACCCGTAGTATTATCGGAAATACGATTTAGAACAGTGTCTAATCGTGAAGACATCATTTTAAGTAATGTAGTCAGACGGAAAATTAAGACACCTAGATAAATCGAGAGATAAAGGGTTGACCGAAAGGTAGACGCTCACTTCATTGCGATTAAAACTGCGGACTCAAAATCTTGACACAAAAAAAAACCGCTATAAAACCACGGATCTGGAAGCGGACCAAGATAAAAACTAATTCGTTATTTTAATTTTCTTTAAAGATAAGATTACTTATCAAAAGTTAATATAAGATTGTAGAAAATATAAGCTGTAAAGAGTTATGCAGAACTTTCAGGCTCGACTCCATGAATGCATAAGTGTCAACGGAGGACATTTGGCAGATGTAGTTTTCAAAAAATATTTTTTTTTAACATTGTATATCAAATGGCTACTCTTTTATTTCCCATTTATGAATTAATAATTACAAAAAAAATAATTTTTCAACAATAAAATTATTTACGAAATCTTCCCGTTTCATTGCCGAACCCTGTACAAAGCTCAATAAGTTGTTCATTTTGTAAAAAAAAATAATGTTGGGGAAAAAACTAAGTATATTGATTAAACTAAAAGATAGAGGTCCTTTTGTATATCCTGCAAAGGATGTTATAAAGATTTGCAAATTTTCAGGATTCAGGATTATAAGACAAATAAAAGGATCCAAAATAAACTGTTCTAAAAATTTCATTTTTATTCAGGTCCCAGGGGAAATAAACTGTTTTAATAATTATGAAATGAGTAAACACATTGCTACTCAATACATACTTGATAACCACAGAAGTAAAATAATTAAATTAATAATTTCCAAGTTGTCGATTTAAGGACTTGTAACGTTTTTTTCTTACTTTAAAACATGATTAACTTTTATTATCTTTAATCCAGTAATAACGTTTAACCTATATTCTTTTTGTCATTTTAGAACCTGAAAATATAATATGTTTTAATATTTTAAATATTACTGTTTATAGCATTTGAACTTTAACGTACCCAATTGGTTTTACAGTAATTTCTCATTATCATTATTTGTTTTGAGGCTCTATAATAGAGTTTTTATATTTTCTCTTGTTGATTTGATTTAATAAAATGCGTTTGTGTAATGATGTATATTTGTCTTCTTATCTTGCTGGTTGTTGTATAATGAATGAATCATATTACATAATTAAAAATTCCTTCATAGGAGAGGGGAGCGAACCTGCGCTTTACAAACATTACAACACTTAAAACTAAACATACCGCCAACCTTGAAACTAGCGGGTTTCAAAAAGAATAACAAATAAAATTATTGTAAATAATCAAAGAATCGCGTCTTAGCAAATAATAAATTTTAAGTTTTGAAATATTTATCAAATGAAAACTTGACATAACCTATCCTAACTTTAGAAGAAGAAGAATAACCTAACATAAATCTATCAAAACATATGACATGCTAAAATTGCACTGAACTAATTGTGGTTTTGTTTAAATAAAACGGTTAAAACCTTACACAACACTATCTTCGTTATCGCAGGTAGGTAGAACACAAATTCTTTGAGTAGCTCGCTTCACCTCGCCACTGGACGTTTTTACAGATACACAGCGCACAACACCGTCTTCTCCAGGATAAAGTTGTGTGATGCGACCAAGTCTCCACTGCTGTGGGGCTGTGTTGTCATCTCTGAGGAGTACGAGGGAGCCCAGATCAAACTGTGTTGGACTGGAAACCTGCCACTTTGCTCTCTGTTGAAGTGTGTGCAAATACTCCTTTGACCATCTCTGCCAAAAATGCTGAACCATCTGCTGCAGCTGGTGATAATGGGAAAGCCTGTTGTATGTGGTGGATTCAACGTTGAGTTGTGGTAATGCTGTCAGCTTGTCACCGATCAAAAAGTGTCCGGGGGTTAATGGAGAGAGATCGTTGGGGTCATTGGAACAAGGAAATAAAGGTCTGGAGTTAAGTATGGCCTCAATTTGTGTAACAACTGTGCATAGACCTTCAAATGTTAATTTTGTGTCTCCTATTACACGAAATAAATGAATTTTTGCTGATTTTACAGCAGCCTCAGCTAATCCATTAAAGTGAGGGCTTTTTGCAGGTATAAAATGCCATGTTATCTTGTTTTCAAGAATAAAATTATTAAAGTTGGTTGAATCAGACATTATATTTGACAAGATATTATTTGCCCCTGTGAAATTTGTTGCATTATCACTAAAAATATGCTCGGGTAACCCAAGTCTAGATACAAAACGCTTTAAAACATTTAAAAACGAATCTGACGTTAAATCAACAGCCACTTCAATATGTGTCGCCTTGGTAATAAAACATACAAAAATACACAAATATGCCTTAATAAATATTCTGTTCTTCAATGTTGAATTTTTTATGAAAATTGGCCCTGCATAATCCACACTACAGCTTGTGAAAGGTCTAGCTGGGGTGACTCTTTTAGAGGGCAAATTACCCATTTGGGGAACAATGCTTGAGGGTTTGTATCGAAAGCAAGTAATACATTTTCTTAAAACATGCCTTATTGTAGATTTGCCATTAAGTGGCCAAAACTCTTGTCTTATATTTGCTAATATAAATTGTGCTCCTGCATGCATGTTTTTCAGATGTTCATGTTTAATAATTAAATTTGTGAATATGTGATTACTTGGCAAAACAATAGGATGAATTTGGTCATACAATAATGCTGAATTTTTTAGTCTGCCTCCTACTCGAATTAAATTATCTGAATCCAAAAATGGAGTCAAAGATAATAATTTGCTGCCCTTAGAAACGATTCCTGATTTTTCAAGAGAATTTAATTCGTTAGGAAATGATGACTGTTGGACTAATTTTGAAAGAGTTATTTTTGAGTTTTCGATTTCTGTTTTAGTTAATTGATTATTAAATTTAGAATTTGTACCCCTTGGTTTACAATTATGAATAAAACGCAAGATATATGCCATTACTCTTAAAAGCCTTGAAAATGATGAATAACGATAAAAAATGAAATCTTCTGAGATTTGTGAGTTAAAACATTTTATAGATTTTTTCTCAGGTATGTCTGCAGGTATGTTTTTATTAGATTTTATATTCCAATCTTCGCAATTAAGCATCAGAAAGGTAGGTCCATGCCACCACAATCGTGAACTAATAAGTTCACTTATCTTGGCAGTTCTGGAAATTATGTCCGCTGGGTTATTTTCCGAACTGACATGATTCCATTGTTCTGGCTTGGATAACTGCTGAATTTCGGATACGCGATTGGATACAAATAATTTCCAGTTACAGGCTTCTGCAGAAATCCAAGCCAGACAGATTGTGGAGTCTGTCCAATAAAACTTATCTGAAATTTTGATACTTAATGCGTTTGCAACTTTTGTCATAAGCTTGACAAGCAAAACTGCCCCACATAACTCAAGCCTAGGTATTGAAATTGTTTTTAATGGTGCAACCTTAGATTTGGCACATAACAAATGAACTGAAACTATATACCATTTGAGTTTTCGGAGCGTAAATATATTGCAGCACCATAAGATTTTTGACTGGCGTCACAAAATCCATGCAATTGAGCATCAACTGCATCAAATAAAACTACATGGCGTGGAATTTTTAGTTGATTTAAATCAAATAGGTCTTTTTGAAAATTCTTCCATTTAGTAAATAAACTGGTGGGAATAGATTCATCCCAATTTAGTTTTAAGAGCCATAACTCTTGCAGAATTAATTTAACCTTTAAAATTATAGGTCCTATAAGACCCAATGGGTCGAAAATTTGCGAAATTAATGATAAAATTATTCTTTTTGTGACCTTTTGAGTATCAAATTGATTTTTTGAAATTAAGTATTTAAATATATCGTCATGGGAATTCCAAGAAATACCCAAGATTTTGGATTCCTTTTCATCATTAATTAGAAAGGTTTCTGTTGATTCTGGAGAAAATGTTAATAACCTTTTTAAATTAGAATTCCACTTTCTCAGTGGAAACCCTGACTTAATGTATCTGTAAATATCTGAAATACTATCTTTTAATTCCTTTGTGGATTCAACATCATTAGACCCAGTTATTAGGTCGTCCACATAAAAATCTTTAATTATTGCCCTGTGGGCTTCAGGGTGACTATTTTTAAACGGTTCAGCAGATTGCTGAAGACACCTTGTGGCTAGAAAGGACGCGCTAGCTGTGCCATATGTAATTGTTTTTAATTGATAATGCTCTATAGGAGAATTAGAGTCAAATCTCCAAACAATACGTTGGAGTGGTTGATGTTCTTTATGCACCAGGATTTGTCTGTACATTTTGGCTATGTCCGACGTAATAACATAGTTATATTGCCTGAATCTAACTAAAATTGAAAATACATCGTCTTGTATGACTGGACCTATCTTTAATGCATCATTAAGAGAGATACCAGACTCTGACTCGCAGGAAGCATCGAAAACGCATCTTAATTTTGTTGTTGTAGAATCCTTTAAAACACAATGATGTGGCAGATAATATGTTAACTGCTCCTTTGAGTCTTGTCTGGGATCTACCTTAAACATATGACCTAAGTCCAGGTACTCTTGCATGAATGCGTGATATTGGGTTTTTAAATCGGAATTTTTATTTAGTTTTCTTTCAATTGAAGTTAATCTATTAGTTGCATTTTCTAAATTTGAAGCTATTTTCGTGTAGTTATCTTTAAATGGCAATTTAACGATGAAACGTCCAGACAAATCTCTGGTGTAATTTTCAAGAAAATGATTTTCTACTTCTAATTCTTCCTTAGAACGTGAATTTTGTTTAACTTCGCATTCTTCAACTAGCCAAAACCTTTCAAGTTGAGAATCTATGTTTGAAGTTGAAGTTACATGTGTTTGAAAATGATTTATAG